CGTCTTGGGGGCCCCTTGAGCAGTCTTGGGTGCCTCTTTGGGTCTCACGGGGCCCTCTGGGGCCGTCGTGGGGCCCCCCTGGGGGCCCCTCGGGCTGTCGCTGGCTTAGGGCCATCTTGGAGGCTGCTTGGGCCGTCGGGGGCCCCCGAGATTTGAAAAATGCGAGAACGCGAACATGTATCAAACACCAAAGGCAAACCAGCGTTTGTGGTCTCGAGTGGCTCTCTTGGGAGTCCTCTGGGTGCCATCTTGGGCCGTCTTGGCGTCTCTGGGGCCATGTTGGGGCCATCTTGGCCCGTCTTGAGGCCATCTCGGACCCCCAAGAACCAAGAGGCCCAAGTCATAGATAGTTAAGTGGTCTTGGTAGGTTTCTGAGCCCCAGAGGGGGTTCGCCGTCTTGGGTCGACGGGTGTAGCGCGACTCCTGGGGGCAGGGGCAAAGGGGGGGTGCACCATAATGCAAACTGATACCATCTGGGCCTCCTCTCTCCCCCCTCGCCTTCCGAGCCCTCAGCATGTCCAGATCCGCTCCAGCATTCCGCCTCGACTTTCTAGGGACACCTTCCAGGGGGGCGAACGTGCTCCGAAGGGGCTCCGTAGGCCGTTCCTCCTCCCTCCCCTGCCTCAGCGCAGCTTCATTGGTATTGGGGCGCCTCTCTTCCGGCACCCGTCTCTGGGCTAAGTCCAGGGATTGACGCGCCTACGACGGGGGCCATTTTGAGACGCATGGGATCGAGCAGGCGCTAGGACCTGCGGTGCTGTGTCCGACTGTGTGTGATGTCACGGATCAGCTATGGTGTAGCCCGATGTTAAAGGCATTAGGTGATCGACGTCTTCACGAATTGTTGCTTCCAAGGAGTCCGATCCGATCCGACAATCATCTGTGCACATATGTATAGAAAGATGTATATACGTGTACACACTGATTCACCATGTCGCGTGGCACGCTGCCGCCGTCATTCACCAGGGCCACCCAGGTCTTGGTACGGCATTGTAGAATCATGCAAGTCACAGCAGCCAAGAAACCAGAATTGCCAATTTGAGTGACGTTCGGCCGTTGGCATACAAACCGCCCGCCAAACGGATGAGCCCACGCCCATGCGTTGAAAGGGGGTGAAAGCGGGTGCGTCTGCGGGATTGAGTTGGGTTTTTTTTGTGATGCCGATGTTTGCCTCGCAGCGGCCGCCCGCGAAAGCAACGTTGAAATTGGGGGCGTTTCAGTGCCTGACCTGCCTTCTCCTTGCGTTTCCCAGTGCTCTACCTCTTGCCAGTGCCTTACCCAGTGACTTGCCCCGAGATCCTTATCGATTCACGCGCCCGGCACAACTGGAATGTCAATGTTCATCCACAGCAGGAAATCATTTGAAAGGCCAGGGGCGCCAGATCGTCAGCGAATCGGCGGTGAAGTCCGAGGTTGGGGGGTGAGACCGCAGTGGAACGGAGACCCCCAACTAGGAAATCGTTTCGTTTCCTTCGTGTCGTGCGTGCGGGCGAGGCGAAGCTAGCTGCGTGGGCGCGCGAGAGGAATGAACCCGCCGTTGCGAGGGCGAAGTCAAGACAAATTATTCTCCCCCTCCCGCCCGTCTGGCGGTGGCTCGCGGTTTCCCGCGGTGTCCCATTGTATCCCGTGGTGTCCCGTGGTGCCCGCCGTTGCGAGGGCGAAGTCAAGACACATGATTCTCCCCATCCCGCCCGTCCGGCGGTGGCCGCCGCGGTGTCCCGCGGTGTCCCGTGGTGTCCCGTGGTGTCCGCCGTTGTTAGGGCGAAGTCAAGACAAATGATTCTCCCCCGCCCGCCCGTCCGTCCGTCCGTCTGGCGATTGCTCGCGGTGTCCCGCGGTGTCCCGTGGTGTCCCGTGTTGTCCCGTGGTGTCCCGTGGTGTCCCCAAAAAGTGAGATCGATAGTGAGATCGATAGTGAGATCGACAGGTGTCGCGTGGTGTCCCGTGGTGTCCCGTTGAGTGAGATCGATAGTGAGATCGATAATGAGATCGATAGTGATATCGATGTGGTGTCCCGTGGTGTCCCGTGGTGTCCTATGGTGTCACGTTGAGTGAGATCGACAGTGACATCGATAGTGCAACCGATAGTGAGATCGAGAGGTGTGCTGCGGTGTCCCGTGGTGTCCCCTGGTGTCCCGTGGTGTCCCGTTGAGTGAGATCGATAGTGAGATCGATTGAGTCAGATGTTGGTTCCCCCCCCCTCCCCCCCCCCACAACCTCCTTATCACCCGAAGGGTGGTCGTATAGGTAACATCTGCCTTGTTGTTTACATAACTTGCTGGTTCGGAGGGCGAATCTGGAACCAGGGCCACTATTCGGAGCGACACTCGGGCCGTCAAGGGGCAACAATCGGAAGAGGTAGGTGGTCGCCGAAGGCAGTCATCGGAGGCTGGATTCGGGCAGGAGTTTCACAGGAGCCTCCCAGGAGATTCGCAGGAGATTCACAGGAGCCTCCCAGGAGATTCTCAGGAGCTCCCCAGGAGCCTCGCAGGCGCTCCTCAGGAGCCAGGAGTTTCTCTGTGGCCTCTCAGGAGTCTTTCGGGGGCCTCTCGGGGAGTGTCCAGAGCGGCTCAGTATAAATAACCAGGGGACTATCAGGAGTTCATGGGCATCCTTTCCGTACCTTTCTACGTCCCTCTCAATAGCCTCGCAGCATTTTCACATGATTACGTTTCTCTGGAGCCTCTCAGTTCTCGCAGGAGCCTTTGAAGTATTTATTTGAACTGTTTCGTCGGTTATCAGGGGCTTGTCTCAGGGACCCTCCAAGCTCCCCTCAGGAACCCTTTCGAGCCTCTCGTTGTTGTCATCGTTTTCGTCGTCATCGCGTTCGTCGTCGTCGTCATCGTCGTCATCGTCGTCTTCCGTTTCGTATGCGCGCAAGGTGGTCATAGTGCACCCCCGGCGCACGGTCCTACAATGGCGCGTTCGTTTCTCGTCTTTCATGTTTTAACGGGATGCGCGGTTCACAGGCGCTTGTGGAGGGCCAGATCCCGACTCAGCCCCTTGAAGTGGTGGTCCTGACGTCGCGTGCCCATGAGGAGCCCACAATGTCAAATGTGTTTGGCAATTGTGGACGTATTGGTGTGTAGCTTTTGCTCGCAGCTCTGTGGTCGAGCGGTTCTTGCCGATCCTTTCGATCCGTTCTTCCAGGCCAGCGGGCACCTGCCTCCCCGACGCCATCTCTTTGACGCCCTCGCCAGGCGGATTGCATAGCTCCATTCTGTTCTGCGCCGCCGTTGGAACAAGCTCCCGGGTGTAGTGTCTTCAGGCGACTGTTTTCTTATTCATTGCTTGGCCGATCGGCGCGGGCCCTCACACCCCCCCTGCAAACAGTCGCACTGAGCAGAGGTCCAGAGCCAGACGCCTCCCCCCTCCCCTTCCCTCCCAGCGCCGAAGCGCCGAATCAGACAACGCTCACCTTCGGCAGCACGGCGCGCGGAGTGCTGCAAGTGCCGCGCCCGACCGACTGCCGCGAAGGGGACGGCCGGTGCACCGGAAGGCGGGCAGCCCCGCCCCTCGAGCAGTGAGGCGTCCCGGCTGGCCTCTAGGCCCACCAAAGAGTGCTCTAAGAACCTTTGTGTGGGTTGCACGAAGTGTTCTTAGAACATTTTTCTGGCTGGGACTGTCTTGTTTGAACGCATCGGGTGTATGTTCTAAGAGCCTTGTTTTGCTCTTAGAGCATTTCTGGGTTCGAAGAACATGTCGTGGTAGGCCTATAGAACTCCCTGCTCAAGCCCCCAGTGCCCAGGGCAGTCACACTCGCAACGGCTGGTCGGTCGAGCGGGCCCGGCGGCCCGCGCTGCCCGAACCTCCGCCGAAGGCCGCCTCCCAAGGCGTCCCCCTCGCCTCAGAGGAGCGGTGATGAGCCTGTTTTCCACCACCACCACCATAAGCTGGAGGGGGGAAGGAGGCAGAGGACGAGGAGGAGGACGAGGAGGAGAAGGAGGTGGTGGAGGAGGACGACCCCCTCCCCCTCCAACTTATGGTAGTGGTGGTGGAAACCAGGGCCATCAAGCGGGGGTCCACGGGAGGGTCTGTTCACCCATGGGTCGTTGAAGGTAGGTATGTTTGGAGTCCCAGATTCCAATCTACTTCAAAAGCGCCTTCCCTTCCTCTTTCAATGATCGAGTGGCTTCACCTGGTCCGTCCTCTTCAGGGGACGGGCGGACACCCAATCTACTTTCAACGCCTTCCCACTTCATGTTTCTACCTACTTCTTCCGACCGATAGGTAACCCTCTGGGCCATAATGCGAGTCAAACCCCTTCACTCCACCAAAAGTCCACAGTCTGGGGGGAGTGGGCGACATCGTGGCCCCTTCCGTCCCACCCACCCCACAACGCCCGATATGGCCGCGATCAGGAACACACGCTCCGTAATAGTGGCCCCGATCTCCGTCGATACGTCTTCCCGATGCGGCGATTTCTCATCGATTCCGGTCCCCGGGGCCCGCCATCACCAGGCCCCAGGGCCATCAAGGCTTGATCCGGGGCGAAGCAGTGGCCTTGGGTAAGCACGGGGTCGAGACCTCTGGGGCCGCGGATGTGGGGGGATGCGTTCCAAGATCTTTGCAGGATCCCCGGACAGTCCAGTTGCTCCGCACCAGCTTCGGGAGCGAAGGCCGCCAGCTGCTCCAGAGCTCCCGGAACGCATCCTGAGCTCATCGTGTCATGAGATCACGACCGTCCTCTATGAAGAAATGCTCGAAGGCCCCGGCGCGCAACTCATACATCGTCCAGTCCACACGTCCGCCCCGCAAGATACGGGACGACGCTCGCGAGGCCATGCTCCAGCGCGCAAATCCGACGTGCATCCGATGCAGGTGCGGTGTTCAATGCGGTCCCAAGTTGCCACGCGAGTAGTCCCTGATTTTTCCTCAAAGCATTTTCTTTTGGACGACGACGACGACGACGTAGAAGAGGAGGAGGAGGAGGAGGACGACGACGACGCCGACGACGACGACGAGACGACGACGAAAACCACCCCGAGCGGCCGTTGCAGGCCCCCGCGCTGGCGCAGGCGCTGGACCTGCCGCAGCGCCAGCGCCTGGCCGAGCTGGTCGCCCGCGGGCTGCCCGCCTTCGTCGACGGCCCGCCGCCCGCCCGCCCCACGGGCGGCGGCGCCGGCGGCAGGGCGGCGGCCCTGCCTCGGGAGCCTTGGGACGGGGATGAGTGCAGACGGTCAGAGCCCCGAATCATCAGGCATCAGGAGCAGCCCCCAAGGCCAATAAATGTGAGTTCTACGACATCAGTGAAAAGAAACGCCAGGACTTCGACTTTCGCACCCTTCGAACTCCCAGGGGATCTGCAGGCGCTGGCTCATCATCTGCAGGCGCTAGCGCGTCGGCAGCATCTTCAGAGCCCCGAATCATCAGGGGTAACTCGGGTCAGGGCTAACTCGGGTTCGTTTTTCGGGAGTCCGAGCCCGAGTTGCCCCGGACCCGAGTTACCCCGGATATTTCGGGCGTCCGGAGCCCCGAGTCATCAGGGGTAACTCGGGTCAGGGCTAACTCGGGTTCGTTTTTCGGGAGTCCGAACCCGAGTTACCCCGGACCCGAGTTACCCCGGATAACTCGGGCGTCCAAGACGGGGGTCAGCCAGAGCGCCCGATCTTGCAGGATCCTGCAGCGCCAGGGTCGCATTGGCCCGGGCTGTGGCGCAGGATCCTGCAGGATGTTGCAGGGCCCTTCGCATGGATCCGGGTTTGGGTGCAGGATCTTGCAGGATCCTGCAAGGCCTGACTGACCCAGGTTTGCATTGACCCAGGTCACGGCGTCCCCGACTGCCGCTGGCATCGCTCGGTCTCGAATCGGGGAAGCGTAAGACTCGAGTAAGCTGGAGCTCGGGTTTGCCGACATTTTTGGTCGAGCGCGTCCTGGGTTCTGACGGTCCAGTTTCCGTGGGATGTTTGCAGCGGGAGTTCGCGCCAAATTTCATAACCCCGAACGGGCGATAATAAACTACCCCCACCTTAACCCCATCTATTTGTTATCCCCGGCCACAGGGATCTATCTGTGGGGAAGGCGCGGAGGCCGAACTTGATAATCCACGGGAAATTTGCGGGGATCGAAGCTGCTATCATATCATGCTGATTAACAACAACACCAAAAACGCTGAGCATGGCCATGGTGGTCTCGCCAGACCAGCTTCCGCAATCACGAGCGTGTGGCAGTGCTGTGGGATTCTCACCAATTCAGTTTGCCCACGTTACGACCGTGCGGCAGGGCCATGGGCTTTTCATATTCTTAGCCTTTCCCGAGTCAGGAACGTGTGGCAGGGCCATAGTGACCGCTTGGGTTTTGATTGCGCATGCGTTTTTTCGAGCAGGCAGCGCATTGGAGTTGGTTGGTTAAATGACTTCCTTTTTTAGCGCGCCCTCACACGGTTCGTGGCCGTTCCTTCTCCTCCTCCTCCTCCTTCTCCTCTTCCTCCTCCTCCTCCTCCTCGTCCTCCTCCTCCCCCCCCCCCCCTCTGCCCCCGCAGCTGCCCAAGCCCAAGCCTCCCCGAGTCTCCGAGACTCCAAGCTTTCGAGCATCTTCGAGGCGCCGAGCCTTTTCGCCCCAGGGGCAGCGATAGGGGGGGTATAGGCATGCCGATGCATCGGCGATGTATCAACGATGCGTAGGCATTTGATTTGGGGGGGACATCGATTTGGAATCTGCGATACATTGCCGACGCATCGGGCGCGCGTCGCCGATGCATCGGCGATGCATCGCCGATTCCAGGTCGATGGCCCCCCCCTTTGCCTATCCCCTCACATCGTTGCCCCTGACTGCGTCGCGAGCCCCAGCGATGGCCCAGCCCGCCGAGCGCGCAGCTGCCGCGAGCCTGCCCGTCGAGGCGTTGAAGCGCGCGGCGGTGCCGAGCCCAAACTCGAACGAGATTCTCAAGTGTATTGCCAAGCATAACGATAAGGTCATCGAGAAATTGAGCTACGTCGCCGAGAATGTCAGCATCGCCGATATGCGCCAGTGCCAGTCGAGCGCGCAAGGCACGGATGCAGCGAAGATGACGAGCTGCCACTTCAAGGCCTAGCCCCGTGGTCGTCGAACGCCCAAAAAGCCGCGCAGGAGAGCATCGATCACGGCCACGTTTTCAACGAGAAGGACAAGAGGCGCATCGAGCTCGCCGTGGCGGTGTTCTTCAAGACCTGCGTCGAGAGGAACGAGCACGTGTGCGACATCATCGTGGACCGCGGAGAGCCGCCCGGGGACCTCTTCTGGTTCAGGCCGACCTTCAAGGCCAAGCTGCAGGAGCTCGCCACGAAGAGAGACATGGAGTTCGGCGCCGACAAGGTCGAGAAGTTGACCTGCGGTTCCTGCGCCGAGCGCATCGGGTTAGCCCTCCCAGCCATCGCCGCCGGGCTCCTCCACCTCCTCGAACTAGTGCTACCGATCAACAAGAAGTTCGAGCCCGTCGAGCACTTGCGCGAGAGGCCCGCCGGGACCTGCCGAGACGCTCGTCAATGTGATTCCGCAGGGCCCGCGAGCGCGTCAATGGGCAAGTCGCTGGATCGAGCGCGCCCTGCGCGAGATCCGAGGCGAGGGCCGCCAAATGCTAGCAGCTCTCCGCGCCGTGGTCGCTCGAGGGAACGAGTTCATCAGTAAACTCAAGGAGGCGAGCGGCAACGACGTGGCGATGGCCAAGGCCAAGGCCAAGGCCAAGCGCAAGTCCAACCCTTGCAACGGCCCCATTGCGGCCGAGCCGAATTACGCCACCTACGAGGAGGCTAGCGCCGCCGCCCAGCTTTGCACCAAGTGTCCCCATGCAAGGACGGCCCCAAATCATGCCGTGCTTGCGTGGGAGAGCGGTTCGAAGTCCAGCGCACGAGGGGTTCCTTGGCCAGATCGGCCAAGGACTTTTTTTGCGCGGGCAAAATCTAGGCGCCCAGCCACGAGCCTCGACATCGCTCGAGTCAGCCTTGTGTCCTGCGCCTTTTGCGGGCATGTAGCCACGAGCTTCGAGATTTCTCGAGTAATCTCTGCGTGGTGCGCCTTTGCGGGCAAGTAACCACGAGCCTCGAGATCGCTCGAGTCTGGTTTCTGTCGCGCGCCTGGCTAAACCTCCTCCTCCTCCATCGTCGTCATCATCATCATGATAACTTACCTCCCCCCGGAACATCCTTTATTATCCCCGCGGGGACCGCGAAGTTTATTATCCCAGAGGTGTTTATTATCGTCCGTTGCGGGTTATTGGGTGTCGTCATTTTCAAGGTGGCCCCCTCAGGCCAACCCGAGCCCCCCGCTTTCGAATTGTACGCCTCCTCGATGGAGGAAGAAAAAGCCAAGTGACCATGAACTTTTGGCGATCCGCGCGGATTTCCTGGATCCGCGCAGGACCTCGCCCTGGCGGCGCCTCCAGCGCCGCCCCCGGCGCGGTCCGCGGGCCAGGGAGGGGGGCCCAGTACAAATCCCAGGAATCCGCGCGGACCGTCGAGAGCTGATCGCCGTTTGTTTTTGTGTTTACGGTCGCGTGCGTTTTTTTTTTTTCTCGGCGGGACCAGAGCCAGAAAATCCGGACCACCGAGGAGCATCATGGACCATCTTGCGAACAAGAAGCGGCGTTCCAGAACGGGCTTCGCCTTCAAGATTCGAAGGGGGAGTTGCCATCTCTTGGCGCCAGGCGGCGGAAGGTCGGCGGAGGGCGGCGGACACAACACGGCGGCGGCTGCGCCAGCGGAGCCTGGCGGAAGGCTGGCAGAAGCCGGCGGAAGCAAAAGTCCACCTCCCAAGGGATGACAACATGTTTGGCTAAAGGGTTTCCGTAACTTGCCAAAAAAACGCACGAAACCGAACTCGTGCACGGGGAACGGACGTCCGAGCGATGGCAAGACTGGGACCCGGACGCTGCAATTGTTGCGCACCTGTGGGTTCGAGGCTGCTTTTTGCAGGTATGCATGGCATTTCCCGCCCATTTCCCCCGCCGCCAGTTCAAACAGCGCTGGGCCGACAACGCGTGCAAACGTCTCCCGGCTTGCGTGGAGGTCCGATTTTTGTTGGGCCTCGCCACGCCCGGCCCCCCCTTCCCTTGCAAGTAAAATTGCCAGACACTGAAGAAGCAACGCTTTTTTGTTACACCAGGCTTTTTCGCCAGGTTTAGGGCCCGGGGGCCGTCACACATGGATTTGGCTCGGAACGCGCCGCAGAAAAATGGGGTCTACAATATGATGGTGGTGATTTTTGTTGCGACGCTGGCGGCAGGGCGGCAACGACGATTCAGGCCCCCGGACCGTCACAGATATATCCAGCTTGAAGACTTCCACAGAAAGGTGGGGATAAGGCCCCTGGTCGTGATTTTGCGCGACGTTGGCGGCAGGGCGGCGACGACTACGACGACAGCGACGGCAGCGGCGACGACAACGGCGATCAGAGGAGGGAAAGGTACCGACTTCGCTTCTCGTCCTGGGGAGCTTGCGTCACTACGGCAGGACTCGCCTAGACATTCTACATAGTCTTAAGTCGGGCCTGTCCCTCCACAGGAGGAATATTCCCAAGTAGTCTAACATAGTCTGGGGACGATGTTTTGACAAATCGTTTGGCTATTTTTGAATACTTCTCCCCCACAGAGGTCTGGGGAGTGGCGGTATCGGCAGCGGTATCGGCAGGGCGGCGGCGGCGATGACAGCGACGGTGGCGGCAGCTCGAAGAAGAACTAAAAATTGCATAAGCATACTTTCTCGGACCTCTGCGCGGATGTCGTGGACCTGCAACAGGGGCCCCTCTGGCGCCGCCGCCCCTGGTGCGCTCCGCGCCGAGGCGCCGACCCAAGGTTTCTGTTGATGCAACTCTTGCTTCTGCTAACAGCGACGGCGACGCAGACGCCATCGACTGCAGTCAGCTCGCACAGTAAGGATGAGCAGCCTTCCCAAGGGTGCGCTGGGTTTCTTAAGAAGCGTGGGGGGTACCCCCCCCCCGCCGGGGGACAACCTCGCCTCGTCGTCGCGCTGCGACGGGACGTCGGAGCGCCTTCGGCGCGCGGTGGCTGCCCGCGACAGGGGTTGATGTGGGGCTGTCGGCGGGGGTGACGCCCCCCCGACGCCTACTAAGAAACTCGGAGTATCGTGCATCCTTGTTGTACGGGCCAACTCCACGCCGGCGACGACGCCGGAGGTTGTGGGGGCTGCCAAAAGCATTCGGGGCCGTCCTCGCGGCGGGGCCGCGCCCGGGAGCTCCCCCCCGCGCCGCGAGGCCGCGGGGGCGCTTCCGAGGCCTTAGACCGAGGGCCTGCGAAGTTTTCCGGGCCGCCTTGTTGGGGCAGTCCTCGGCGCACGGCGCGCACCCGTCTGGGGCGCTCCTCGGGGCCCCGGGCGTCCTCTGCGGGGAACTTTTTTGTCCATATCCTCTGCAGCTTGGAGATCCGAGGTGCACTGGCTATGGATGAAGATTTGGCCCCTGGTGGCTCGATGTTGATCCAGATCCGGTGCGCCTCGGCCTTGTGGCGCCCCTTCCAAGGAAATCCAAGACGTACTCTGAGTAAGCATGGGATACAGTTCTTGCCCGCGTCCTCGTCCACGCCGTCGGCGACGGGGGCGAAGCACGCAGCAGCCAAGGGGTGCGCGACGACGGCGACGACCTCGAAGACGACGGCACCGCCAGCAGCGGTCCCGGCTGCGGCGGCCACGGAGAAGGCGCCGGCGGCGTCGGCGCCATACGACGGCCTCGGGAGGCCCGAGCAGGCCCAGCATTGTTGCCCCGAGACTCTCGGCCACTCGGCCCTCGACTTTCGGCGGCGGCGGCGACGGGGACGACGACGGCGGCGGCAGAGGCGATGACGCTGCCGACGGCGGCGACGAAGCTGGCGTTGACGCCGTCGTCAACGTGGCCCTCGGCGACGGTGTGGGCGGCGTCGGCGGCGGCGGCGACGACGACGGCGACGGCGGCGGCGGCGGCTGCAACGTCGCCGGTGACGACGGCGGCGGCGAAAGCGGCCACGACGGCGTTGTCGCTGCGGTCGTGCACGACGACGCCCCGGCGGCCCGCGCCGCTCCGCAGGCCTGGCCAGGGCCACGGGCTCTGGCGCGGGCCGGCGGGCCGAAGGCGCGCGCGTTGCCTCGCCCGTCGGCCGCAACCGTCGGCCGCGCTGTTCGTCGACGTCGTCGCTGTCGTCGTCATCGTCGTCTTCGTCGTCGTCGTCGCCATCGTCGATGCCGGCCTCATCGACTCCGCCGCTGCCATCGTCGTCGTCGTCGTCGTCGATTGCGGCCTCATCGTCGCCGCTGCTGCAGTCGTCGTCGATGCTTGCAGCGTTGCATCGGCTGGCCTTTCCCGTCGTCGTCGATGACCGCGTTGGCGTCGTGAGGGTCGTAAATATCGTTGTTGTCGGCGTCGGCGTCAGCGTCAGCGACGTCGGGATCGTCGACCGGGATCGTCGATGGCAGCATCGTCGATCGTCGAAGAAGGCCCCCGTCCTCTGTCCCACCCCCTCCCTTCTCATTAACCCCTCCCCTTCTGCCCTTTCCCTCCCCCCGTCACTTCGCTCCTCCCCACGCCCTGCCTTCCCCTCTCCGCCCCCCCCTTCATCCACCCCTCCGCCTCGTCCCCCCCGTGCTTCTGCGGCGAGCCTGGGGGGGAAGTGGGAAGGAGAAGCAGACGGCGCCCGTCCTCTGCTCCACCCCCTCCCCTCTCATCAACCCCTGCCCTTCTGCCCCTTCCCTCTTCCCGTCCCTTCGCTCCTCCCTGCGCCCTGCCTTCCGCCTCGTCCCCCCATGCTTCGGCGGCGAGCCTGGGGGGGAAGTGAGAAGGGGAAGGCCTTCTCAGCAGCCTCGGAAGTCCCACAGCCTTCCGAGAAGTTTTTTAGGCTTACCCCGAAGACACAGACCACTTCTCGGAAGGCGCGAGTGCTTCTGAGAAGTCTGGCCGCCTTCTGATAAGGCCTTCTCCTCGCTCCCCCCCCTCGCTCGCAGCCGACTGCTCCCCTGGGGACGACCACAACGACGACGACACGCCCTTGGCGACGACGGCGACGAGCCCTCAGGCCGCGACACCTTGGGCGCAGATGCCCGTTCCGCCGACGATGGACGATCACACCAATCTATCGCGACGTTGCCGCCGCCGACGACGACGCAGAATCGACCGCAGACCTGGGTCCATTTCGGTCCAACCGGTCCGGTTCGATACCGATTCGGGCCGGCCCGATGTTGCTTCGGGCTGGCTCGGTACCGATCCGATTCGATGCCGATGTTCCTTCGAGCCGATTCGGCTCAGCGTTTGCATGGCGTTGTTGTGCGTCCCGGCACGGTCGATCTGATTCGGTTCCAGACGTTGTGCCGATGCTGCCCAACCCGGCGCGCCTTCCGATCCGATCCGGTTTCTCGATGTGATGCTGGGGGATCCTGCCCCCGACCTGTTTGGGAGCGCGTGCTAACCGGAACTGGGATCGGCGGTGCGCCTGGGCGGGAAGGCAGAAGGAGGCAGGCCTTCTCAGGCGGCGGGGCTTCTGAGAGGCCCTCCCGCCTTCTGAGAAGCCTCTTGTAGTCGGGGGTGGGCAGAGCCCCCACCCTGACACGTCGATTAGTGAATTGTCCGTTTTTGGTTATCGAGAGGGCGCCGCGGCCGTCATTTTCCAGGCTTGCGCCCACCAGGTTTGGGCCCGGGGTCGTTTTCACTAAACCACGTTTTGCTAAAGGGGTCTCTGTCCATCCCCGATGTAGGCCGCCTCCGAAGCCACAGACGGCTTCTCAGCAGGCGCGAGGGCTTCTGAGAGGCCCCGCCGCCTCTGAGAAGGCCTGACCCCTCTGCCCCCCCCGCGGGGCCCGCCGCCCACGGGAGACATGTGCAGCCTTTTGGTTGCACGAGAGCCCCCCCCCCGGAAGCCTCCGAAGATCGCCTAACACCTTCGGGAGAAGGGCGACGACGCTTTCCGGCGACACGGCGACGACCCCTCAGGCGGCGACTCCGCGAGCGCGGACGGGTTCTTTGGCCGGCCGGCCGCCCGCGCGCGGCATCCGCCTCCGCTGCCGTCGCCGCCGCAGCCCGCGCCTGCCTTGCAACGCAGCCGCCGCCGCCGCCGACCTCGCCAGTGGCGCCGACGACGGCGGCGACGACGACGGTGACGACGATGGCGGCGACGGCGGCCTGTGGCGATGGCCTGGGCGGCGTCGGCGTCTGCCGCGGCGGCGATGACGGCGGTGGTGATGCCGACAGAAACTCGAAAGACGCCAGCGGCGACGCCAGCCGCGACGACTTGCGGCGACGGCGACGCCGGCGGAACTGCAAACGATGGGAAGGAGGTGAACGGGGGAGCATGGAGAGTGCGGGGGGACAGCATGGGAGACGGATGGTGGGAAAAGCGAGGAAGAGTGGAAAGTGGAGGGGGAACATTGAAACGCGGTGGGGAGGAGGACGGAGTGGATATATACATAGAGTGTCGAAGACGCTCTGGAAACGCCTGCGTGGTGGAATCTTAGGCGTCAGAGCGGCAATGTTAGTGTGGTGTGTGTGTGTGTGGTGTGTGTGTGTGTTACCCGAGGTGTCAGGGAACCGCTGGGGGAAGACGCGGGATGGCTCCCTGGGGGCCCTCGGAGGCCGCCTGGGGCCATCTCGGGGCCTCCCTGGGCGCTCTCTCGGGGCTATCTCGGGGCTCTCTGGGGCCGCCTGGCGCCTTCGGAGGCCGCCTGGAAAGCCTCTCTGCTCCGTCGATGGGCCCTCTGCAGACCATCGAGGGCCGAGCTGGCCTGGGAGTCTAGTCGGCCGTTCTGGGCCGAGTGGGTCGCATCTCGGGCCATCCTGGGGCCCTCTCGGGGCCATCTTGGGGCCCGCTTGGACTGCCTCAGACCAGAGCTTGCGCGGCCTCTAAGATCGTCGAGCCAAGCAGCAACGGTACACAGTCGAAACCGATGGGAAGGATGGAGGGTAACCCTTGCATCTCTGCCTCCTCGGTCCAACCTCCAGCCCCTCTCGATGGCCAGCCCCGCTCGAAGAGCCTCGACATGGGCAAGCGAGGCCTTGGCATCCTCATCGCGCATCCTCACCACCAGCCCTGCACATGGTAGGGTCGAGGCGCTCGAGGCCCGCGGACACGCGTGGGTCTTCTCACGCCGCGTGACCCCGCCCCGCTTCGCGGGCCCGCGGCGGGGTGCCCCTCGCGCGCCTGGGATGGGGCTGCGGTCGGAACGAGAGCTGCGGCTCTGGCCCCCCCCCTCGCCGCCCGGGGTGTGTCAGAGGAAGGACAGGCACCGATGCCGCCATCCCCAGACCCCCTCGAGTCATGACACAATCACGACGGGAGGTGTTTTGCCATTTTCGGCCTCTGGGTGCCTTTGGGCGGCCCTCGAGACCGTCAAAAAGCAATTCAGGATGAGAAACCGGTCCAGGGGAATGGGTCGAGACCTCCAAGGGTCGACGTAATGAACAAATCATGACGTCGGATGCCTGGGTTCTGGGCCTCATGGGCCTCATGGGAGGCCCATGCATGAGTCCTTCTTGGGCCTCATGGAAGGCTCTCATGGCCACCGCCAGATCCGCCCCGAAAGCCTGGTCAGGAACGCACCCCGGTAGATGTCTGGGGGGCAGCGGTATCGGTACCCCTTGGCTTCCCCAGTGTCCCCCTGCAGGGCTCAATTCGACTCCGATTCAATTCGATGTCGATGGCTTAGGATTATGATTCGATTCGAGTCGGGATTCCGATCTGGTTTCGACGTCCCAGTAGAGGATTCGACATCTCCCGACTCGGCTGCCGATTTCTGAGGATCCGATACATTTCGATCGCCGATCCGATTTATCGATTCGATTCTGGGCTCTCCTGCCCTGGTCGCGCGGGGTCTGTGCGTCGCCATCGAGACATGCACAGGGGCCGCCTCTGTGCTATAGCCAGCCAGCCTCGCTCGCCCCGCCTCTGGGCCTGCAGGCCCGACAACTTCGACAATTCGGTCGTCGCATTCCCCTCCCCGGGCCGCGGCCAACGTCCGTCGCTACCGCGCATCTGGTGCCAAAGGATGTCCAGCGGCGTCGTTGAGTCACCCGTTGGACGGCAAGGAAAAACAGGCACAGCTGGAGACCTGTGCCTCCTCCTCCGCGTTGGGCCCGCAACGGCGGCGCCGACGGCGGACGCGACGTCGCGCGACAGCGCCACGCGCGCGCACGCCCCAGGCTCATCACCCTGGGCCCGCAGCCAGCGGCTGCCGAAGGTGCCGCGGCCGCGCCCGGCCGGCGGCAGCGACGGCGCTATAGCGGCGGCGGCGGCGACGGCGAGGCCGACGACACGGACGGCGTTCGGGGAAACGTAAGATCTGAGTGCGCGGGAACTCGGATTTGCCAACGCTTTTTGAAGTTCTCGTCCTGGATTTCGACGGCTCAGTTTTTTTTTTGATGTTTGCAGCGGGAGTTCGCGTAAAAGTTCAGATTGAGTCTCATTATTTTCATGATGGCCCCGTCAGGCCAACCCTAGTCCTCGGAACCCGAGTCTTACGTCTCCCCAAGACGTGGGCGACGAGGACGGAGACGATGATGAGGGCGATGACGATCGACGAGGTCGAGAATGGAGGACGAGCTCGACGACGACCAAGGACGACGAGGTCGAGGTCGAGGAGAGGCGACAAGAAGGCGTGGCTGGAAGCAAGGGCGACGGCGACGGCGACGGTGAGGACAAGGACGAGGGCGACGGGGTTGGGCAAGGACGAGGAAAGGGGACACGGGCCGGGGAGGAAGGGAATGGAATGGAATGGGTGCGAAGCTGATCTACCGGGTGGTGGATGCGCCGGCGAAACACAGAGGGCCTCTTGGGCGAAGCTCGCCATAGGGGGACAGGGGTCCTGAGAGCGGACGGGTCCTGTGAGGTTTCTCTCCGTTGCCTGGGTTCTCGGGGCCCTCCACGGGCCCTGGGACCGTCCGAAGACGGCTCGGGATGGTGGAGGCCTCGCCTTTGGGGGAGGCCCTGGGGTCAGGACCCGCCTCCCTCGGGATCCGCCTCCCTCCACGCTGAGAAGCGCCAGCCCTTGGGGTTCGACGGCAGGGGTGGGGCGCCCGCCGTGGCTGCGCGCCAGACTCCGCCCGCCGCGCTCGTCCGTCCGCAGGCGCCACCGCCAGCCCCGCCGGCGGGGGCCGCAGCGGCGATGCCGGCAGGCGGGGCTCTTTCTTCGCGGGCCCGCGCGCCGTGGGCCCGGGAGGCGGCACAGGTCGGGGAAACGTGAGGCTCGAGTAAGCCGGGACTCGGGTTTGCCGAAGTCTTGAAGAGCGCATCTTGGGTTTTGAATAGCGCATCGTCAACCGGGTTTGCCGAAGTTTTTGACGAGCGCATCCTGGAGTTTGACGGTCCAGTTTTCATGGGATATTTGCAGCGGGAGGTCGCGTCAAATGTTAGATTGGGTCTCGTCATTTTCATGATGGCCCCGTCAGGCTTACCCGAGTCCCCCGTTGGAATCCACTGCCCCTCTGCTATGAGGCAGTTGTATAGGAGGGGGTACAGAAAACAAAGTGTTTACACAGCTTGGAGGAATCAGTGAATTCAGCATGGGTCCGGGTTGAAACGCCTCGAAGAATCCGCGCGCACCCAAATCGCAAGCGTATGGCTATACGCGGACCGAGGCCGGTTTGCTTCCGGTCGTCGTCCTCGCCCTTGCTCCTCACCCACTCTTTCTTCCCCCCCCCTGGATGGTGTCGAAAGCGTTCGCGGCTCGGGCGGGGTAGCGCCCCCTTCCACCTCCCCTATTATTCCTCGTTCCTCTTTGCCTCCCTGCTCCACCGTCCGTCGTCCTACCTCATCTTCCCTCCTTGTGCGAGGAAGGGAGGTGAAGTCCCTGATGCCGCGTGCCCGTATTGGCGGCATACCGCCCTTTCGATACCCGAGCACTGCGGTGCAACCAAACAGAGGGGATTGCGAATGCATGTGTTCGGGGCGCACTCCAAACGCGGGCGGCACGGCCGCCAAGCACACTAATATCGCTAACCTGTAAATGTACTGGTGCCTGCGGCAAGGTCCGACCCCTTGCCAGCGCGGCGGTTTGTATGGCGACGCGTGGGGCTTTGAGTGTTAAGAGGTCCGTGACATGTGACACCTCTCGTATTCTCGGACTGCTATGTGGCCTTGTTGGGGTTCCTTCGGGTTTTTTTTGGGACGTTTTCGGGCCGTTTGGGGCCGCTTTGGTGCCGCATTTCACCGTGGCCAGGGAAGCGTGCATTTGCAGCGCCATCGGCGGCGCCCTGGGCCAGGGAAGTGTGTATTCGCATTCCTTCCGAGCTGGGCATGTCGACCTTGGTTTTGGGTTGGACAAGTCGGGGTGGCGCCCTTGAGGTGGCGAGCGTATAGTTTTTCGAAATACACAGATCAAGGGTTTGATCTGTGTACACAGTTGGTGTCTTCAACTGTGTATTTCCGTGTGTGGGTCCACTGTTTACACAGATCGTGGTGTGATCTGTGTACACATATGTATTTGGAATGTGCCCTTCGCGGGTGGTGCTGATTGGGCGGGAACTTTCGATTTTCCCTTTCGGCTGGTCCATGGGGACATTGTGCGCGGTCGAAATACACAGCTCGTGTCTCCAAGTGTGCATATGTTGCGCGCCGGTCGCTGGAGTGCTCACTGGGTGGGAGTTTCCGCGGATCTCCCGAGAAGACTAGGAGGGGGCCATGGTCTGGGAGCGCAGAGGCGCGGGGGGCTGGGGATGGTGTGCAATTTGAATGTAGGGTTTCGATTGGAGGGGTGGCGCAGGGACCCGGGATGAAAGGGGCAGGGCGAGATGGGGGAAATCGGCCCAGGAGGAGCTGCATCATCCGCGTCAGCATCGCGGCGGCGAGGGGGGCGGGGGGGTGCAGAAGGGGGGGTGATGGTCTGCATTAGGGCGTAGAGGATGGGAGGACGGCAGGCATGTGGACGATTGGGAACTCATCCGGCGGGGGAGGACGAGGACCGACATGAACTGGCACATGGGGGTTGACAGTGTGGATGAGGGGCAGTATGAAGAGTGGGGGTGGTCGGAGGGGCAGGAGGAGGTTGGGCCCAAAACGAAACGAGATCGGGAGGAGGCGGGGGATGGGGCACGAGGGCGAGGCGGGCACCAACTCACGCTTAGCTGATCAGTGTTCCGCGTGTCCGTGCACCCCCACAGAACACAGTGACCGGTTGCAGGATTCCATGATTTGGGTAGTCGGGCGCGGCGCGTTTTCAAGCCAAATGCTCGAGTCCACGACGCTCCGCGGCGTCGCGTTGACGCTGCCCCGCCTGGCCAGACCACATATGCGTAGATGGGCATAAACTGTGTTTCAACGTTTGTTACATGACCCTCTCTACAGTAACAGGCCTTACGCACCGAGTTTTGCGTCCCCCCGAACACGGCAGGTCCTACGCGAATGAGAAAACACGCCATATACATAAATTGTTGGCACTCCGCGCGGATCTCGTGGATCCGCGTTGGGCCCCCCCCGGCGGCGGTTCCGACGCCCAATCCTCTGGCGCGCGGAGCGCGCCAGAGGAAATCCGCCCGGAACGCCAAAAGTTACGTTTGTGCCGTTGTTTCTTCTTCGAAACACGCGGGTCGGTGGACGCGCAAGTCTTATATATTTCTAGGCGCCTTCCTACCCCAATCAACGAGCGTTTTTCCCTTTTGCTTCATCTTCAGGGGGCGGGCAGAAATCACATCCATTTCCTATGCCGTCCTACTGCATGGTTCGACCTACTTCTCCCGACCGACGGGTACTTGGCCGCTCCATCTTGGCAGCGTGCTTGCCGGTTCCAGCGCAGCTGGTTTATTGGCTCCGTCGCCGTACGTTTTCGGAGGATGGCAAAGTACCGATATTTGTCATTTTCCCCCGCCTAATTTTGTTCGGCCTGCTGGGAACCCCTCGTCGGTACCGTTGGATTCGCCTTGAAATCCGGGTCAGAGCGCACCCCGGGAAAGGTCAGGGGAGCAGCAGTATCGGTAACGCTTGGTTTCCCTATTGTCTCCCCACCTGTCCAGTTTTCAGGAGCGGCCAAAGCGACCCCCAGCAAACCAGAATGGTTTGCCAAGGGTCGGTGAGGCCGCGCCCTAAGTTCCAATCCCGGGGCAGTCTTGACGTGTTTTTGGGAGCTCCTGTTTTTTTGTCCGCTTTCACGTTCCAGTTGAATTTTTCAAACGGCAGGAAAAGGGCCGTGCGCGTTTCGCCCGCTTCGGCCGTTTGTTTTGCCGCGCGCGAGATGGTCCGGCCCGTTTCGCAGAAGACATGTTTTGCACTTTTGGGCTCCAAGACGCCGCGCGCGAGGTGGTCTGGCCCGTTTCGCCTGAGACGTCCTCGCAACTCTGGCCTCCGGCCTGGTGCTTGCGAGGTGGTCCCACGCGTTTCGCCTGAGGCATCCTGGAATTTTTGGGCTTCGAGGCGGATGAGGGAGGAGGGAAGAGGGGCCAGATCCAAACGGGCATCCTCTCAGCGCCTCCTGTGAGATCGCAGCTTGTCCCAGAGGCGTTTTCTTACTCGTTCCAAATACGCGTGCTGGAAGTCTTTCCGCAGCTCCTTCAGTGCCCCGTGGGAGCTTTTGCGAAGCTCCTTTTCTTCCTGGATAGCCTTCTGAAAGCTAAGAGGATTTCATATAAGAAGGCGGCAGCACAGGGTAGCCCCAGAGTTTGAGGCGCCGGGCAGGAAACCTCGCAGCGCCTCCTGTGAGGCTGCAGCTTGTCCCGAGAGCGTTTTCCTCTTCGTTCCCAATACGCTTCCGGGAAGCCTTTCCGCCGCTCTTTCGAAGCCCTTCCAGGGCTACAGGGCTACTGCGAATCTCTTGTCTCGAGCGTGCGAGCTCCCCAGACATCGTTTCAAGCGTCCGTGCAAGCGTCGCCCACAGGCGTTTCACACGCCTGTTCGACTGCACCGCTATCCGGGTTTTGGACGCTACAAGTGGGACAACCACTGGACAAACACGAGGCAACCACCAGGCAACCGCCAATGGACACGGTGGCAGATCTATCTATCTACTCATGGGACAGTCGCAGGACAAGCACGGGGGTAACCGCGGGTCATCAGGACAACCGCGGGACAGCCACGGGACAACCACGGGACAGCCAAGGGACAGCCCACCGAACAATTACGGGCACGCCACGGGACAACCGCGGATCAACATTCATATTACCATACCCAGCATTGTCGCCACTTTGGTTCAAGCTCGTCGTGTTCTCGCATCGCCACTGAACATTCATTATTGCACCTCTTGGCCTTCGTCGACGCAACAATGGTACACGGACTGATCTTTGCGGCGGCATCTGCGCTCGCTCACACTGTTGGCGCCGATATGCAGCTCATGCAGACGTCTGTGCATGGGCGGGACGGTTTCGAGGCCGCTGAGCTGCGGATTGAAGACTCCACGGCCCCCGACTTCACGTACAACGTTTCCGACTTCGCACCCGACGCCGCCGACCTCGGCGACGGCCACTGGCGATCCGCACCTGCAAGTCATCCACGGTGAACGGTTCGACCTGATGACGCCGGTCAAGGTTACATTGGTCAACATCCCACGTGGTAGGCGCGTCGAGGAAACTCTGCTTGTGGTAGCAGCAGACGCGCGTCGCCTCGGTGGACATTGTGCCGACACGTATTTCCAGGAAGTGAACATCACAGGGGTATGGGCGGACAAGCTGAAGGCCGGGGGCTTCACCTTCAACGTCGAAGGTGTTCAGAGACACAAGGTACCGAAATGGATAAATTTCGGGCCGCTGGTGAAGTGGACACAGTACTGGAACCTCTTCGTCAAGCACTTTGTGCATGCCGGCTTTTCGGTCGGAGGGTTACTGGGAGAAGATGGCCACATGATCACTCGGATGCAGCGAGGATCCCAGCAGAATGCTGGACCACGATTTCGCTGCGTAAGCTAAGCCGGACCAGCGTGCAAGCTGAATTGGTCTCAGTCGCGGTCGCCAGCTGAGTCCACCTCCCGTCCTCCATTCTTTCCCCATGCCTCCTCCCTTCCGTCTCCAACACCCTTGTACAAAGTGGCTACGGCGCAAGTTTTCAGGAAGCAGGCGGGGTCGGCCGTGGTGGAGGGTGAGGGGGGGGGATGCCGAACGGAGTCGACCGTGGGGTTGAGGGTCGGGGAGAGGGTTTTTTTCATTCGGCTCCATCTACTACATGCAGCCGCGCTCCGTGGCCATGTGTATGGCCG